GAAGGATGTGCATAGGTTTAAATAACTACATGGTAATCAGCTTGAGCAAGGACAAAAAAATAAAACTACAAAAACTTTCCACATAATTAGTAAACTTCTCTTTTAAAGTGCAGATCTCCTATTACCATATCCATGCTCACAGCTAAAATACAAAAGTGCGGTAGAATCATCTCTAATAGCTACTTTTGCATAGAGAGTATACAAGTTGCTGACTATCTCAAATTTATGATCAAATTGCTCTTTGCTCATTATAATAGGAGATTTAATGTCTGGAAGGAAAAAAAAAAAAGGAGATATATAAGAAGCATTAAAGAAGACATATAGTTTGCTTTTGAAAAAGAAGGATGTCAATTTCTGATTTCATCTTGGCTAATCTCAATAATCAAATGTCAAAACAACATAGAAAAACAAATCATAGTCAAGCAAGTTCCCCCACCTATCTCCCCTTCTTTATCCCATCAAATGCTATCCACTCAACCTGCAAAATTCAATAAGTCAATAAACCAGTCCAATACAAAGAGGAGAACTACATTAAGGTCCAAATACAAAGGAGAAATTATATCCATATCAAAGTCTAATGTATAACAATTGACAGCATTACATTATCAATTGCAATGTATGTTCAAACATTTGCAAGAGAAGCATAAGAATAACCATCCAAAAACAAATTGATATGTAGACAGATAATCAGCCTAAAAATGTAAATATTAAGTTTATATTCACTTGTCACAGCAAAAAACTAAATAGAATCCAATTTCTTTTATTTAAGTAGTTGCTAATGTTCAAAAGGATTTAAATATGTAAGAAGCATAATCTGGTCTATAATATTTCAAAACTAAGAAGAGGAACACTGAGAAACATAGATTGCTTATCAACTTTAACAGGTTTCCACGTAGGGATTTGGTGTTCAAGTCAGATTCCTTCATTCGTTAATTTGGTTTTCTATATCTTTGAAAACCCAATTGTAAAAACTAACCAGTTTTCCAAATCAAAACACAAAACTTCCAACAGCAATCTAAAACCAATTGCATCCACTCATGAATTTCTAAAACCCAAACTGCCAAAACTAATCAAAATGTTGAAATAGAGCAAGAAATCAAAATGCGTAACTGCAATATACAACTAAAAGGAGTAGAGGCCATTTATTCTTCCATAGAGGTTGTCAATATTCAGCAACATCATATACTTAAAACTTTCCAGCGTGCAAAACCCAATAAAACATTATACCATTTAATGAAAATTATAGATACAAGAGTACTTTCTATCTTCAATTGATACAAGAGACACTCAGCCCTTCTTGTTTAATCAAAAAATGCAGACAACTCTCTATAGCCAATAATTCCTATCAATAATGCACACCCATCTCAAGTCCACCTAAAAGAAATTCATAGCATGTTTCCAACCGAAATAGAAGGCAATACTCAATCATTTTCTTAATATCAAAACCACCGTTTGGAGCCATAAAAGCTCACAAACGGAAAAGATAGAGCAAT